GTAGGGCTAAGCAGTTGAACGAATAAGGTTTGTGAGTTACTGTTCACTTACTTACTTACTTACTTAGTCAGAAATTCCATGTTTCTACCTTATTACGCTATGCCTGTTAAATACACGGCGCTTTTATTGTTTTAACAAAGGGACTAGGGCATGTAATTAAATGCAGATAGAAAGTCGATAAATGCTAATAGTCATGTCATTCAACGCACTTCGCCTCACTGCACTTCTTCTCTGATGATCTTTGTAAAAACTATTGATATTTAATGAAAACCACGTGGTTCGGTATCTATTTGAGGGAAAAAAAGCGGCTGCTTTCCGCCACTCACTGATTTACATGCTGGTAGCGTGAGGAATGACACTTCTTCAAATTTGCCTTTCTTTGCTTTCATGAAGAATGGATCGCGTATCGCTCTTCCCACCCATTCTTGCGTTACTGCAAATTATCTTCTTCTCATATCGTCTTGTTTCAAAGAAGGCCAGGAACAAATTCTACATGGTCAACTTTTACGCTTGATATATTTTTCTGTTCTTCATCAACGAAGCCGACGAATCTGCATTCTTTATGATGATTTCCAGCACCCATTTCAATAATACTCTCGACAGTTATTTTTAATATTAAATGCATAAAAACATGGTTGTTACTCTGACAATCTTTGAAGACACCCATCGAAGATAAATCATAGTCTCTTGTATTTTCCTTGTATATTTCTTCCATATGAATGCGTTCCACAGTGCATCAGGGATCCATTATGCCATCGTTCATCATTTTCCCATTTGTTAGGTCTTCACCACTGTCAGTTTGGATTGTATGCAACTCTGCAGCATGTGTTGTCTTTTGAATAACGGATTTCTGGTATTGACAACATCGTAACGAAAACCTACGTCGAATTTTAGGCATATCACGAGAGGAATTTCGGAAAGAGAACTTACTCTGAGCAGATGACACCAATATTTCATTTCTAGTCTAAATATTTACAGTAGTCTCGTTTCTCGGTCAATCGAGTAAGCAATGCAGGATCGGCCTCATGGCGCGAGAGTGTCAAGAACTCAATATTCTTCAGATGTCTGACTATGCCTATGACCGACAGCTTTGCCGCTGAGGGTAAAAAATGCAGCT